ACAAAATGAACCAAACGCTGCCTTCTTTAGTCAGAAGGAATCGGGCAGATATTATTTATTTGTAAATAATATACAAAGCAAAATGCTGTTACTGCAAATAAGAAGAAGAAAACCACTCTGTGTGGTCTCAGTGCAGCCGTGCATTTGCAGAGTACGACAACTTCTCATTGTTACATTTTAAACCAGATTAATTTTTTAAGAAGAGCATTCAGGTCTGATGGTGATGTGGAAACTGCTGAAGATCTTTGACAAAATGAAATGCAGTGACTGAATACTCTGACAACCAGAAATGAAAATGAATTATGTGTTAAAATTAGTGTAAATGAGGACCAAACAAAAGTATATATATATATATCCACATTTACTTTATCACTAATTGAATGCATGTTACTTCACTTGGCCATTTGGCACAGATTCTTTACACTCATCATAGCGTACCTTTGTTCAGTAAAATGGATTTCAGTCATCGTCATCAGAAGAGCACTGAATAGAACCACCTCCTGCCAAGTTTGTCTTCAGTGCAGTAACTGTATCGGTGTCTTTGAAGGTATTAAAGTGTTTTTTACACAGGCATGCACTTAGTATATAGAGTCTGGTATACTGAGGTGCATACATGGGACCAAAATAAGTTAGGGTAGCTGGCTATAAAGCGCTTTGCACCATAGGTGACGGTGAAATTTATTTGCACATGCTCACAGAGTGTAGTTCTTTTCAGCCACACCCACTTCTGAACAACTCCATGTTGCATTGTGGCAGAGCAGGAAATAAGTTGACACGGCTGCTCTTACTGGCAGATTGACACTGAAGGCTGGTGATGGTAGTTTTGTTCTGAATTTTTGTCTTAATTCAGAAAGTTAAATGTCCACAGTAATTGTGGTATTTTTTTTTTTAAAGGAAACTAACCCGTGTTCATGTCCTCTCACAACTGTCTCATTACCTGATTTAGGAAGACGAGAAGTCTGCTGATTTATTTGTGTTGATGTGCTCAATATTGACAAAATCAACGTTACAAAGATAATGTTGCTCGGTGTGTTTTAACATGTAGGTAGATGCTTCCAGTAAATAACTATCAGGCCTCCTGCTAATAAATAACTTTCCTAACTAATCTATCTACACCGAGGGCAACTATTGCTTCTAAGATGTATTAGGTTAAAGAGATTTGATGTCACCATCCTGAAACCAGTCAACATAATCACCTAATATTGCTCCTTGTTGGCTGCAGAGACTGGACTGAAAACACACACACATGATTGTGGGCTGTTAAGGGTCGTCTCCAGCACAGCACATCGTTTTGATCTGTTTGGCTCACACGTCCATCACTGGTTGGTAGCTATGTTGCTAATGGAATAACTGTTATATTTGTTTTTGTTTTCAGTTGTGAAATGAGATCTGGAACTGATATCATGTTTGGCTTTGGAATGCTGGTAGACATTTATAAATCTATCAAGTTTAAAAATGGTTACGTTTTAAAGGTTCTTCAGGGAGAAGCAAGTTATTGTGAATTAACAGCAGAAAAACGTGATTTTATTTCTTGTTCTACAGCAGCAGGTCGTGTCTGAGTGCCCGCTGTAGCTGTGGGTGTAAAAACTCTCATTTTTAAGTATTGAAGGCTGTTATTTTGGTTTGTTTATTTTTGGAAAAAAAAAATTCTAACTGTGCAATTCATAAAAATTGTAAATAGACATTATTTTTGTAAGTTTTGGGGCCTTCCTGGTAATACAGATATGCCTGTGTTATTTCATATAAAGTCTGGTTAGGGTTGGATGTGTTATTCACAAATCCAGCCTGGAACTTTTCTTTTGGTGGTCACCAAGCTTTCTGTTTCCTTTTGTAGTCCAAAACAAGAAATAACAATTTCTTTTTAACAATGTCAGATTTCATTCCTTTTTTGTTGTATCATGTTGACGAACAATGAAGGACACTGAAAAGTTATACGTCATATAAGAATCCAACCATAATCCTCAGCTTTCTGAGTACTTAAGCACATATTATACTTTATTATAAAAACCTCAGAATTCCAGTTCAATTAGTGTCATCCCAGTCATCCTTGATCACCTGACAACTGACATTTATAAAGTGCTGATCCTTTCTATTTTACTGGCTGCGTTAATAGCTGCATTTAAACATTTCACGTGTTTCTGTCTTGGTGCGAAGGCTGCACACTACGATAGAAATGCTCATTTTATTTGTATAGCACATTTTAAAATGCTCTATGCTTCATTTAGGAGAAATCCACATAACAAAAACAAGCGAATGCACATATCTCACACATATTCACATGCACATACAAACGTGCATCTACACCAGGGGTGGCCAACTCCAGGCCTCGAGAGCTGCTGTCCTGCAGGTTTTAGATCTCACCCTGGGTCAACACACCTGAATCAATGATTAGTTCATTACCAGGCCTCTGGAGAACTTCAATAAATGTTGAGGAGCTAATTTAGCCATTTAAATCAGCTGTGATGGATCAAGGACACATCTAAAAGCTGCAGGGACACCGGCCCTCGAGGCCTGGAGTCGGCCACCCCTGATCTACACATATGTCTGTGTAGATGCACATGAAACCTACGCTGGCTCGCTTATATTTGTCATAGCTACTGTGATAAAAGGTGAATTAACTTGTGCACCAAAACTGGGTAAACGGCAGGTGGACTGGTTCTTATAGAGCACTTTTCTACAGTCTAGCAGTCAAAGCATGCTAATGTGTCTCATTTACACAACCACAATTTTTTATGCTTCATTGCTTTACACACATTCGCACTCCAATACACTGGAGAGCAACTTGGAGTCAGTATCTTGCTCAAGGCCCAGGCAGACTGGAGCAGCCGGTGATCAAACTGCCAACCTTCTGATTTGCCGTTGTCTTGGTCTGCGGTCTGGGTTACTGTTGGGTTTACGGCTGAGAGCGGGTGGCTGCTTAAATATTCTGACATTAAATTTACATTATTCAGAGAAGAGAAGTCAGACCCCACTAAACGATATTAACAATAACCAATATTCTACTTTTTCTTTCTAAGGTTTACTTCTAAATCTTGGCCTAAATAGCAACTGTACCTCTTTCTGTTACTTTTTTGAAGTAATACAACCAAGTACAGCTGATGGAGTTAGACAAAGAGAAGGTAGAGGATGCTGCAAAACTACATCACCCATATTTTTATTTGTGTAATTAAGGTCACAAGTACATTAATTAAATAGTAACCCAAAAGAGTACAGCTCAGTGCAAGTTCTTCAGCTATGAGAGGAATCTGGTGACTGTGGGACAGGAATGTGGATGTCATACCTGACAGCGTGAAGTGTCACTGCTGTGGGTCAGGGTGGTGCAGATACTATGCTGGCACACCCTAAATCTGTCTGCACTGCTCAGAGCAAAAGGGAGGGACAGATAGATCCTTGATCTCTAAACCTGTGGCCAGAGACACGAAATGACACTGAGGCTGATACAGACAGTCGATCACTCAGTGGTTGCTCTGCATTATTTAATTATTTCTTTTGCTTTACTTGGAATCTGCGACGTGACATTAGAGCATTATCATCAATTTAGTTGAATTGTAGTTTTTTTTTTCAGTTGAGAACTACATAAAAAGCTTGTTAATAAATGATAGGGGTGACCATTTGTCCTTCAATGATTTGTCACAGAAAAAAAAACCACCACAGGCATCAGTTGTGGTCTCAGCCCTGCCCACTTAAAAAAATATTTGTCTCTCTCTGTTTCCAGGTGAAAGCCATGTTGCGCTAGTACATCCAGGCCAAGTAATGTCCTTATAAAAGTCCCAGCAGACACAAATTTGATTTAAGTTGATTGATTTTTCAACACTGTGAAAGTTTAATGGCAAAATAAGCAGTTTCCCTCTGTTTGGTTCTACGAGTCTAACAGATCCCAGTTAGATGCTAGGCAAAGATCATTGCTATCAGTTCCAGCGATGCAAAAGAATCAAGAATAACTTCTCCCAGTGTTTGGCAGGCCAATTCTTAAAAAAGAGAAATAGATAAAGAGAACAGACGGCACAGTGTGAGCCACGAGGGGCGAGGTTGACTGCCGCAGGAGGACAAACCAGTTTCCGTCTGGAGGGTGTGGACCTTCCAGCCCTACCCACCTGTCAGACTTGTCTCTGCATCAAACACTCAGCAGCACTCCATCACGCCTCACCTCACCTGCTTCTCCTCCACTCGCCGAGATTCTTCCCAAAAGAGAAGATGTCCACAAGCCAGGCGGAGAGCACACAGTCAGATGGGAAATCCTTTGAGCAGCTGAGACATGAATGTCTCATGAAGGGAGTCCTGTTTGAGGATCCAGATTTTCCTGCCAAGGACTCCTCTCTCTTCTTCAGCGAGAAAGTTCCCGTCAACATTGAATGGAAGAGGCCCACGGTATGTGCACTGAGCATTCTTATACTCAGAAGAGCTCTTGAAATCTGTTAGATGCACATGTGCTGTTCATGATTTCAAAATACTGACTTCAGTATGTTTCGTCTAATGATTATCTGGTGATTTTTTCATACCCTTAAAAACGTGCATGTTTACTATTCAAATACATTAACTACATGAACTGCATGGCCACAGCCGTCCATGTCAGGTGACCGCAAAGGCACTGATGACATTAGACGACAAATTACTGAAATGATTCCATTCAAAAAATGAAAGTTGATCAAAACTCTGTTTTTATTACTCTGAACCTAAACCAAGTCATGAAATACTTGTAGTTATAGCAGCAAAACCAGTTCTGCAGGTGAACTGTGCAAATATAGCTGAGTGCAGCAGGAGTTTGTACCACTCTGAGCCAACTTTCCTGAAGTAAAAGTGGAGTTGGCTGGTTCGCAGCTGCTCCACCGTAGTGTGAGAGGTTTGCTTTTGCTGATCAACTTAATGTTGAGACATTTATGTACAATTTCATGAGTTTTTGGCTCATGAAATCCTTCAAACTATGTCATGTTCTCCTTCATTTTTTGGGGTACTGTTTCTTATCGTACACTTCAGCTCCAATATCTTTACCTGTTAACACGCCTACAGAGCTGACCCGATTTAAACAACCTGTCGAACTCACAGCTCATGCTCGTTACAATTACTACACATTTCTGTCCTGGGTGTGTGCTTTGTGTGCTGTGTATTTTGTGCGCACTGACTGGGATACCAGCCGATTAATATGTCTGGAATGTGAACACACCTATCAAACACACCGGTCTCCCGTGTCATTTAAAAAATAAACCGACCAGTTTGTTTTCCTGTTTTGTGACCCTTCAACAGGAGATATGCAAAAACCCAAAGTTCATCTTAGATGGCGCAGACAGAACAGACATTTGCCAAGGACAGCTCGGTTGGTATTCAAGTTACTTAACTACTGTTAAATCTTGAATATTCACATATTTCACGGTTTTATTAATGTGGCACTTGTTTATTTCCACAGGGGACTGCTGGCTCCTGGCAGCCGTTGCTTCGTTGACTATGAAAAAAGAAGCCCTGGCCCGAGTTGTCCCACCTGACCAGGAATTTGCTCAGAGATACGCTGGTATCTTTCACTTCCAGGTAGGATCTCTGATCAGAATAACAGACTCTGCAAAGATGTTCACACACTGCAGTATTTCCTGCAATAAGCAAACACATAAGGGATAAAAAGGATGACAGCACGTTTAAAGAAGCGTCATGCATTTGAATGTTCTTTTAAAAATTGTTGTTTCAGCGACTCCAGAACTTGCAACAAAAGAGACCGATGACATTAAAAGAACGCCAGAAAACATAAAGTTAAACACTTTTTGACTGATTGATCATTTGGCAAAATGTTCAGTCAATAATGTGTTAAAACACAGCCTGTAGTGTATTTGCAGTACATTTTAAGCAGGCGGTGTATTGGAAAAAGGATGCAGTGCCCAACCCATTCAAAAGATTGGGTTCCACTATGTTCCTCCAGCTGTCTTTTTTCAGGACCGTTACTGTTCGAGCCTTTTGTTGCCTCAGTCCCAATGTTGCTACAGTCAGATGCAAAATGAGCTCATATTATTCATGAAAGAGTAAAATGTCTACGGTCAAACATTTAATAGCTTTCCTATTGTGAATAAAATACAGATTTACGGCATTTGTAAATCATTGCATTGTGTGTGTGTGTGTGTGTGTGTGTGTGTGCTTTTTTACATTTTATACTGTGTTGCAAGCAAAAAACACATTTCAGTTGAACAGAAACAGATTTACAAGTGAGATTATTTTAAGTAATCAAACATTGTCTTCACTTTGTGTGAAGTCGGTGTAGGCGGTAAACTCACCGGTTCCTCTGTTAGTTACACTGTAACATGTTCTCTGATGGTCTCTCAGTTCTGGAACCACAACAAATGGCTCGACGTGGTTGTGGACGACAGACTGCCAACAGTGAGAAATCAACTCATCATGCTCCACTCGGCCTCCAGCAATGAGTTCTGGAGTGCGCTGCTGGAGAAAGCCTACGCCAAGTAACATCACTTACTTCCTCTTATTTGTGCTATACGATCCCTTTATCTTTCCATTCGTCTTATCACATGCATGTTAAACATGTGACAAGAGGTTATTTAAAGAAACATTGTATAAATACAATTAAATTAGATTGCGCTGAAACACTAGGACATTTTTTTTCTTTCGTTTATTTCAGATTGAACGGCAGCTATGAAGCCCTGAAGGGTGGCAGCACAATGGAGGCCATGGAGGATTTTACTGGTGGCGTTGGTGAAATGTATGAGACCAAGGCTGCTCCAGGAGACCTGTTCAATATCATGAAGAAAGCCCTGGACCGAGGCTCAATGATGGGATGCTCTATTGATGTAATCTAATTTTTAATTTTTGCCCATGAGGTTTACTCAACATATCAGCTCAGTTACTGTGTTTTAACTCTCTCTGCATGCTTTGGTTTTCTTCAGATCACTAGCTCTGCAGAGTCAGAGGCCAAGACTTCCACAGGCCTGGTGAAAGGACATGCATACTCCATCACAGGTGTAGAAGAGGTAAAAGTCTCAGTAACAGTCTCAGCAGCAGATGTAAGAATAATGAGGGGAAGCCACTTGTTGCTCAATAATCGTAATTAGAAGTTTACAGACTCGGGTAATTGTAATACTTGTTAAAAGATGCAACTGTACATCTGTAAATATGAAACTTCGATCTTTAAAAAATTACCTTTACCTTAAACACAATGGCTTTAAAAAAATAAAAACACCTAAAATCCTACAAAGACACATTAATTACATTTAAGTTTAAATTTAAAAACATATACTTTTCAACAATGTAGTCACAGAATATTGTTTTTGGGTTTTTAGGTGAATGTCAGAGGTCAGAAGGTGAAGTTGGTCCGGATTAGAAACCCCTGGGGACAGGTTGAGTGGAACGGTGCCTGGAGTGATAAGTAAGGATAAAGAAAACTTTATTTTGACCCTGAAACTACACATGTTGTATAAAGTTCACCCTTCCACATGAAAAGCAGGTCTCCTTGAAGAGTCTGTGCGTGAGAGTCTTCCTCGTAGTTTATCTCTAGTCTATAGTCAAACAATATGTTTGTTACTTTGAATACGGTTCACAGCCTATTATTGAACAGTAAAAAAAAGTTGTGTCTATATGTAGATGTTTTACATGTTTGGTTTCTGTTTTCATATTCATTCAGTCATTCTGTGTTCCAAGTTATTATGCAATCATCATTGACTTGGCCACAAAAAACGGTAATTACATCCCAGGTACCCCTGAGACGCTCAGGTGCCAAAGGGCCATTGGAACCTCTTAAGTTCTAGCAGGAAGAGAACAGGCATAATAATATTATTCAAATCTGAAATTTTCCCAGATTTCACATTTAGACAATTTCAGTAACTCCACGTTTGATTTTCAACAGATTTAAGGGAAATATAATTGTCCAATTGTGGTACTTTTTCTCTGATTAACGTTGTAACAGATCCTCTGGGGTTATTTTTCAGCTCCAGAGAGTGGAATTATATCGACAGTGCAGAAAAAACTCGCTTAATGCAGAATTCAGCAGATGACGGTGAATTCTGGTGAGTCCACATAATAAATTTCAAACTACAGATTAAGATGTGTAATATGTTTAGCAAGTCTCCACATTGTTGTATAATATTTTTGCATATGTAGTATATGAATGAGGCAGTGGAATGAAACAAAATGGCAAAAATGAACTGCCATAGATTTTCAATCAAAATAGTAAATTAACGTAAATGAGTTTCAGGCATCGTTGACAAACTTCAGCCAGGCTTTTTTTTTTAAACTATAAAATTTCACACTCTTGTGCAATAGTTAGCACTATTACTTCACAGCAAGAATGTTTTTGGCTCAAATCCCAGTTGCCGCCTCGCTGTATCAAGTTTGCCTGTTCTTAGGCTGAGCAGCTAATCTCTGCCAACTCCAGCTATCAGCTACAGACTTTGTTGTCGCCCAGTTAAAGAGTCCGTGGTCATAACTTTAAGCCTTGCTAATGATTAGATGGATGAATTTTTCCAAAATCCACACACAGTACAGCTGTGCTAGTTTAGGAGTGACATGGTTGTTGCTGTTTGCGACTCCAGGATGGAATTTGAGGACTTCAAGAGGAACTATGACAAAGTGGAGATTTGCAACATGAGTCCCGACTCCCTGACTGAGGACACGAAACATCAGTGGGCAGTCAATGTGTTTGAGGGAAACTGGATTCGGGGTTCCACTGCTGGAGGCTGCAGGAACTACATTGGTGAGATCAATACATCTTCAAATCAAAACATTTCAGACAAACAAATTCAGCAAAGTGTCAGGCATACTTAGAGATTTCATCGGATTTTCCTTTATTGGTATTTATATTTTGACATGAACTGGTTTAAATGCATGAGTCAGTTGGCATTTCTATCTCAAACTGCTCTCTCAAAAAGTTCTACATTTCTAATCTGCAGACACATTTTGGACCAACCCTCAGTTCAAGCTTTTGCTGAACGATGCTGATGGTGATAATACTTGCAGTGTGGTCATCGCGCTGATGCAAAAGAACAGACGAAAACTGCGAAAAGAAGGCCTGGACCTGGAGACCATTGGCTTTGCTGTGTATGAGGTCTGCAAAAACACTGTTTTTTTATTATGTTATCATAAATAGCATGGGGCGTAGTGCTGGTCCTTGCAGAACACATTTACTGGCCCCTTTCTGAAAGACTTAGTCGTGGCGTTAGTTTAAAGGAGCCATAAACTGAGTCAAAGAAACAGATATTTGTAGATGAGCAATAATATTAGCAAAAACTTTTTTCTGCACATGTTAAATATTACAGTAATGTATTTCTTCTGTCCAGTATAAATGTGTTTAAGCATTTCATATCTCTTCACAAGAAGATAGAGTTACGAGACAATGAAGAGAAGGCACAGCCTTAAAAATGCACCAGAAATGACCATTCGGACACAAACTCACTGGATGAGCACCATCTGCTAAAGAAGTTCTTAGTGATAAAAAGTTTGGGGACATTGGTAAAACGGATGTGTTTTTTTTATTAGTGATATAGTTTCTTTGCATTTCAAAATATGTTATATTTTTAAAAAGTCAGCCTTGCACTTCTGTCTCGCTCCTTTGTATTTACTTACTTTCTTCTTTTGTTACAAATTTACTTGCATATTTAATTTAATGTCTTTTCTCCTGATGTGTTCAGGCTCCAGAGGGCGAGGACCATGTGGGGAAAGACTTCTTCCGTTACAATGCATCCAAGGCACGCAGCAGAACCTACATCAACATGCGGGAGGTTGCAGAACGCTTCACGCTGCCTCCTGGAAACTACCTGGTGGTTCCCACCACTTTCCAGCCCCACCACGAGGCCGACTTTCTTATTCGTGTCTTCTCTGAGACAAAGGCTGAAGCTTTGTGAGTGTGCAGCTCTGGTTCTGGAGCGAAAACAAAAAGTTAAAGCAATATATAACCTAAAGAAAACATTTGGGTATCAAGGAATAATTATTTAATAACCTGATTCATTTCGTTTCATTTCATTTCAAGCCTTACACTAACTGTTACACTATGCCTTTTCTTCACAGAGAGATGGGAAGCAACGTTGATGCCAACCTGCCAGACGTAAGTAGATAACCAGAAGCTCATTTACCTGTTCAGTCAATCAAGCAGCTGAATGTGTTTATACTGAGCCTGTGTTGCTTCCATCAGCCACCCATGCCCACCCCTCCAGAGGAGGAGACAAAGGAGGAGAAAGGCCTCAGGAGGCTGTTTGAACAGCTGGCTGGCTCGGTAAGAAAAGCATCTTCAGCTTTGGGGTAACAGTGTTTACAGCATCCTTCATTTGTACAGATGAGTAGTGTTTTTATAAGAGCAAGTTTGTCTAGTTTGTACATTTTCAAATCAAGTCTCACCTTTTTACAATGAAAACAAATTAAATAATTAAAGTGCTTCAAGTTATGTTATGATTCCACAAATATTTGTTACCATTTCTGGAATTTTGAAATGAAATTTTGGGCCTTCATTGTTTTAGTTTTACAGTACACTAAGTGCACAGCTGTTGTGAAAAAATACCCACAATAAACAAAACAATTAAAGGCCAGCTGCTTAAAAAGAAAGAAGAATAATGATGATTTTTCTGCAGTATGAATGTTGCAGAAAAACAACAAAAA